CACCCCTGTATATATTATTCAAAAGTACTACTGACCCTCGCCTCTTATTCCGAGGCTTAAAACTTAAATAATAATAGTTAGATGAAACTCTATAATATAGTAAAAACAAGGTAACTCCATAATAAGTAGGTGGCCTTATATAATATAGCCTTACGTAGGTATCTATAGCGTATAACAGTAGAGCTGAGGGATAATTAAGATAAGGCTTAGGTGCCTCGCCCCGATAGATAATATAGGCAGTACCAGGTTTTTAGTCTAATAAACCCGTGATACCGATTATCCTTTTATTAACTAGGTACTATAAATTATCAACTAAGACATTACCATGAGTAGAGTATAGCAGGTCCCCCAAGTAGTTCTAGATATATAACTCCCTGTTAGGTTATTATATCTCATAATATTTATTTTATATTTTATATAACCTTCTACAGTATATAGTATTCAGAATTAGATTATATATATATATATATATATATATATAATTATAACCTATAGAAGTATTTAATATTTATAAAATTATCACCTTCTTACAGTATATTATAAATATCGATTACTTGGTTAAGCTTATCCCAGTCATCTTCCTTAAGTAACCCTAGTTCCTTAAATATTAGAAGCTCAATATAATTATTCCCATCTAAAAATCTGGTTCAGGGCAGTACTTAGGCCTGTATATATAGTTTATATTAAGTATTCTCTTAATCCGTTATTAGTAATATCATATAATTACTGGGAAAACACCTATATATCTGGCCGGGCCCGCCGCTGCTTTTAACCCTGTCCCCACCGTTTATTACTTAACCGACCCACGCTCCTGAGGACTTTAGACCAAGAGCCTAGATCCTTAACTTTCTAGATAATGATATATTTAGCACGGCCTAGACTATACAGATATCAGCTCGTTGTAATCACCCTCTAGGGATATATCGCCAGGGAAGCTCTCTTACCCGGTTGCAAGTAGTTAGATAGCAGTAGATAAAGATATTTAATTATTTTAGGCTCTTCTAACCCCAGGTAATTTACCAGAGATTTATAGAGGATTAGGATTAATAAAGAACAAAACAAAGCGAATAAAAAATCCCGGGAAGTCAGTTATATATATACCTTTTATCGGAGCGATATAAGAACAGTCCTCCTCCCTTAGGTATAATTACCCCCCCTATATAAGCTTCCTTATACTATCTATAATTAAACTAATTATAGGGACTGAGTTAATTTAGGAAGCTTATTATTCTCTACCTATAGAGGACTAAGATACCTCAGCTTATACGATATTATTATATAGGACTCTGCGTATAGTCCTTATAGAGGGGGTATATATAAGTATAGAAGGGGGTATATATTAGTATAGAAGGGGGTAGTATATAGTAGTAAATTCTAGAGAAATATATTCTTAAGGGGCCACCCGGGATACATAGCTGTATATAGGCCGGAATAGCCTCCTCCCTGTTTTCGAATATCGCATAAGGCGGCCTATATTATATCGACAAATATTTTTCCGTTTAGATCGGAGAGCTCTATTATATAGCCATACTATAAATAAGTAGTTAAACTTATAATACTTACTAATACCCCGGCCTTTTATTTCTTCTTATCTTATATCACGCTTATATTTAGAATATTTTTCGGTCTAGATAACTCTCCCTCAGTTAATACTAAAATAGCTCCAGCTAAATTCAATATACTAAATTCAACAAACCAGAGTTCTCAAGGAAGTACTCTCATTAGACCAGATCTAATTACTACCAACTTTAACTCAGTATAAAAACCCAAGTTACGCTGAAGTAACTCTGAGACTATAACCCAACCAAATAGCCCGACTCGCTGTTTAAAGTATATATCTGCTACTGAGACTGAATTATTTCCAGTCCCTTTAGATATATCTAATAGAATAAGAAAGGCTAGTAGAAGATAGGGTTTAAAGAAGTCCGACCAACCCATTCGACAGTCAGAAAGACTGAAAGAAAAGCAGGCTCAAAGGCTTAAAGAGAATCATACACATAAGCATACTAAACTGGATACGAATTTATCAGCAGGAATATCTATATATTTACTTTGGTCTGTTTCCAACTTTAATATATTTCCGGACCAATCAAACATAGCCTGCACCTTAGTAGAAGCTTAGAACTCAGCTCTATTATTAGATAACTCAGGCTACTTTTAGAGGATATAGCTGATATAAGCCTCTGATATACTAGACCTATTAAGGCAGTTATATAGCTATATAACTGCCCTATATCTATACTTAAAACTCAACTGTATAATTAGTTATATTTGGTTATATATATACTAGTAGCATATCTTGTTTATCAAACAAGATACCCTACTTCCTCTACCTGGAGCTATAGGCTAGGTTTGTTTTTATACTCCAGGAGTCTATACTTAATTATATCCCCTCGGGGCAGAGACTATATTTTAAATATATTCCCCTCTACTTATCCTATTACCTCGATTATACTTCTTCCCATCATAGTACAGGTTTTCAAGCTCCTTAGGGACAAGGTAAAGCAGTAATATAAATCACTAGCTGGACTGTATAACTACCCTCTGCAATTACCAGAACAGGTACTTACCAGCAAGATATAACTATATCTATCCCTCTTAACTTGGATTATAATAAAATACTCAACCTGCTCGTTAAAATAAACATACTTTCGCTTCTAGCTTAAATATAATACACCGTAGGTCATAGATAAAGTAGCACTACTATTACCTCGGCTTACTAAGCACCCTAAAGCAGGCCTAGTTATCCTGCTCCATCTATCCTTACCCTGATATAGGATTACAGCCCCTATATATAACCCTTCTAGTATTCTCTCGGATATACTTCGTTTCTTTAGGATTAGTTTCTTATCAATAGAGGGCAATACTTTAACGTACTAGTATATCCTAACAGTAGCGTTAGTACTATTATCTACCTGTAGAGGTCTATAGAGCTAAGTTACATTACTCTCTTTCAGCCTAATAGAGCGGGGTTAGCACAGAGCAATAATACTAATAAATATACCTACAAACTCCACATACCAATAGAGCGTCTCTGGGCGTACCATCTTCAGCTTATTCTTCGCTTTTATCCACACCCTCCAAATAGTATTTTTCAATCGCCTACTGTTACAGTATTCTAATTACTGGGATATAATGTATTTCCACAATAACTATATATCCTCCTCTTTCCAGTTGTATAATAGATAGTCAACTTATCTAGTCGGCTGTAGCTTGATCGCGGTATTATCATCTGCACGATACATACAGAGAAAGATATCCATTCCGGGCCACGAGGCTTTACCTACTCCACTGGACTTAGCCCAGGAAGCAGAGTATGAATTATCTGGCTTCGAATACTCTGGGAGCTCCGGGTCTCGCTCTGGACGTCCGCTCATTGATCCAATTACTACCCCAAGGGCAAGTAAGGTATTACGGTATTATATAAGACATCCGTAGCGTACGAGATAAAATCGATAACGCGGTAATAAGATCAGAATCTGATACGGGAGATTCTTATGGAGATAGGGTTCTTATATAATAAGTAACTCCATAGCTATCAAGCAAAGGTAGAAGCATTAGAGGAGAGCAAGGAAAGTAGCTACAATATCTTACCAGCCACCCCGTATATAAGTAAACCCCTGCATCTAGCAAAACATAATCAGAGTTATTTCTGGAGAACCGCCGAGGGTTTATTTCTCACTTCCAAGCTACTATTCCAATTAGCAATTCTGCCTGCTTAGTTCATTGCCTAGGGTTCTACTAGCTGCTTATAATCCTGAGCATCATTTCCACTTCGAATCAAAATATATATAATTCTTGAGCGTGTTTCTGCAACTGTTGATACAGGCTGTTTATAAGCAAAGCTTGTATCTTAGTCTGCCCTTCCAACGTAATGTATAAGACCAAGTCATCCTAGCCTTCACTCCACAGGTCCATAAGCTGCAACAGGTCTCAGATACAGCTCTGAAAGCAGAGATACTTATCTGCTACGTCCTGGCGCTAGCGCCATCCTTATTTACACCTTAGGACGACTTTGTTTCAGAGGGAGGTACGGTAAAAAATACAAAGCGGGCTTTATTTCTGGGCCCCCGTCACGTATGTTCTTGGCGCATACTTCATCGCCAATATTTCCTAAATCATGTTAATGAAAACGCAATGACCCAACCCATACTGCATTGTTAGACCCCGATGCTCGTCTAAGTCTGGCCTGTTTGTTTTCCCTTCTTTCTCGGGGTATAGGGCTCTCCTCCCTTCGTAGAAGAATCGAATGATTTTCCACAAATTCAAGCCGGTACCACGGCCTGGAATCCAGGCCTTGGAGCACGCTGAGCCATTAACTACAGAGCCCCCACCCTAAGCGCACAGTGAACACCTGGTAGGAGCTCTTACTAAACCCAATACGCTAGATATCATGAGTATGCTGAGTTTCCAGCAATATGTAAATAAGGTGGAGGGGGGTTTTAATGATTGTCCGTGGTTAGTAGGCACCTTTCTCGAGGTAGAATCCGCACTCATCCAAGAAGCTAGCGCCTATAAGGGGCCTGAATACTCGGGCTAGCCAGCACTCAGCTACGCCGGTCGAGTTTCTACCTGGAGAATACAGAAGATAGCTCATAGCTAAGCTCGTAAGAGCTTCTTAGCTGCGTTAACGCTTTTGATGTGGCCAATAGATTGCCTATCATGGCCTACCGTCCTTGACAGGGTGAAGTGACTGGTCCAGCCACACTGAGTAGTTGCTGCAGGGCAACGCAATATGATCGAGGTGACCTGCTTGCATGAACTTTGCATAGATCTCCTGGTAGAAGGGAGATGGCACGTGAACTTTTGTTTTGTTTACGGTGGCCAGTTATGAGCGGCCATGACTGTTGGCGGAAGAACTGGTAAAGCATCTTGCAACTATAAGAACCCGCTGTGTCTCCTCTGGTTACTTACTTGCTATCATCCAATACTTTCTTCCAAAATAACTCGTTGATTCCTTCATATTCAACTCATATTGTCAATTTCCAACATCTATCACTATGACGCTCCTCGGTAATCTCAGCCCTCCTCTCATCCAAGAGACTTTGTCCCACCAGATGTCTGTGTTGGAGCTCTTCCTTCCTGGTTTCTCAAGTATCACCAGTACTGCCAGTCAGGTCCTGAATGGAAAAATGTCCGGCTACACACAGCTAATGTGCTTCTTTGCACTGGCTGCGTTGTTGAAACCATATCTATCTCGATTCAAAGATTGGTTCATTAATCACTTCGGTAAGTCATAAGAAACATAATCACAGGACCCGGGCTCACCTCTACAAGCATCGACTCTCCAGATCAAACGCTCTGAATGAAACATACGATATAATACAAGCGTGGGTCTCAGCTCATGGATTGGATGATGCCGCTCGTTCCATTCTCGCCAAAGTCAACACGAAACAAAGAGCTCAAGATATCCGCACTAAGAAGCCGCTCCAGTATACCCCTTAGGAAGGAGCTTTCTACTTCTGGTACAACAAGCACTTGCTTTCGTATCAGACTATACTGGTGGATGTCGGGTTTCACAAGGAGAAGCGGATCTCTATCATTTGTATCGGACGATCTTCACGAATCCTGAAATCTCTTATGGAAGACTGCCGACGTGATTATCTCGACGGATTGAAGAATAAAACAACTATCTATAGACATCGCGTTGATCACTGGAAAAAAGAAAAAGCAGTAGATACTCGGCCTCTTTCAACAGTTGTTCTCGATGAAGAGCAAAAGAGTTAACTCATCAATAATATTCAAAAATTCCTCGACCTAAAAACCAAACTCCGGTATTCCGCTTACTCAATCCCATACAAACGAGGATATCTTCTACATAGGCCTCCTGGAACTGGAAAGACAAGCTTCAGTTTATCTATCGCCGGAGCATTGGATATAGATATATACATCCTCAGCATCCCTAGCATGAACGATGAAAGGCTGAAGGACCTATTTACTGCGCTTCCAGATAGATACGTCGTCTTGTTGGAGGACATTGATACCGCGGGAGCCACTTGCTCTAGGGAGTTTGACACCGAAGATTCAGACAGCGACGGAGAAATAAGATCACCAAAAAAAAAAGAGGTGATACTTTCGGGCCTTTTGAATGCCCTTGATAGGGTTTCTTCTCAGGAAGACCGAGTTCTAATCATAACAACCAATCATACTGAAAAATTAGATGATGCCCTCACTCGGCCTGGTCGTATAGATTTGAAGATTGCATTCCAGCTTGCTAATAAGGGCATCGCTAATGAGATCTACCGCTTCATGTTTAAACAACCCGAACTTGATCATAGGGATATTGGTCAACGGGGAGACCATAATGAAAAAATCAAGAAACAGGCGAAGAATAAAAAGATCAAGGAACAGGCAAAGTTATTTGCAGCAAAGGTACCGGAGTCTATATTCAGCCCAGCGGAGGTTATAGCGTATCTCTAGTAACACTGGGATTCCCCGGCTGATACAGTAAAGCACTGTGACAAGTAGGTGAATAATCTCCTTAAGGAAAAGAGGGCTAAGAAGGGAGCGTTAGGAAGGGGTGCTAAGCAGGATTAAGGAGGGTGACGAAACAGAAGCTGAGGAAGTGCTTACCAGTCCTTGCTGTATTTCACTGCCATTAAGACGAGACGATGTTGGAATAGCTGTCAGTCCCTACCGTATCTAGTATACCGTCAAAGTTAAGCAATACTACACTCATTTCTTTCCTAAAGCCAGGGTTAGGGTTAGGGTTAGGGTTAGGGTTAGGGTTAGGGTTAGGGTTAGGGTTAGGGTTAGGGTTAGGGTTAGGGTTA